TTCATCGATCTGCCTGTTCTGCTCCCCGCTCTGTCTCTGGTGAATCATCTCACCGCCCCTGCATCTCTGGCCTGTACCCAGTTCTGTATGCACAAATAAGTAAATCTTAAATATATATATGGAACATTACTTAAATAAAACATTAAAACATGTTTTTTTAAAAAAAATCCCACACACCACAAGTTAATGCCTCAGGCCCAGGGGCCTTCTCTGATGAAACCTGCTGACATTTCTGGGAGAACTGAGCTGTGTACAGATGCTGCAGAGAATTGAAAAGGAGGCAGTAGAGCTCGTCTCCCTCGGGGCTCACCTGTGCCCTGATGCCGAGACTGACGGGGCATCTGAGGAAAACGGCTGCTTCCGCTCGGGAACACCGGCGTGGGGTCTCCTTCCGAGCCTTCAGCAAGCAAATCAGCAAGCATGTAGCTGAATCCTAAGAGCTCTAAGCAAATTGGGAGGAGAAGGAAATTCCTTAAATTTGATTCGGACTTCACGACTGATCTGTGCCTGCCATCACACTCGGCGGTGAAAGACTGCCTGGTGTCCGCCAAGAGCGAGCTGTCTGCTTTCACTTCTTTCCAGCATTGCGCTGTGGGGTCCAGCCACACCATCAGCAACACCTGGACTGGGAACCCAAGTACAATGCAGAGTTCACAGGCCTGGCCGACGACGCAGGGCAGCTCTTGGAACCCCCAAAACTGTGAGGCAGTTCTGGGGGTCTTGCAAGATTGTATGATACACAGTGAATAGATTGTTTATTCCGGGATCGTGTAGCAGCAGTTGGAATTACTTCACAGCAGCCACCTGTTAAATGCGGGCTGGGTCTGACAGAAGTTGTGCAGAACCTTCATCCTGAAAACCCACACAGCTGAGAGAAGCCAGAGCCTCGGCCCTCAGTTCGCTGCGACCCAGAATGGCCCACATGATTTTCATAAAGTGAAAAATTAAGGAGTCGCCATTCTGATGGCCAGATTCTGCAATGGAGACTCCGGTAGTGAAGACAGGGAGACATGAGGGTAGAGTCGGTCGGTGTCATGCAGAGACCGCGGCTTGGCCGGAGGCGCGGAGGCGTCGAGGAGGATGGTCTCCCAAGCAAGTAGCTTGACGACGGCAGGAGCCGGGGGCACCTGTCTGGGATCGAGTGAGCCCACCTGCTCCACTTCCCGCGCATGTGTGCGCCTCAGGTCTGAGCGTGAAGCGTAAGCTTGTGCTAGAAAACCTGTGGCCGTGGCTTAGGTAAGGACTCTGCTACTCTGCAAAGACGGTGCTCGCAGGATGGCAGGGCGGCCGCCTCTGGAGAAGGCGTGGCTGCAGAGCTCACGGGCGTGCCGTCGGTGTGCGGAGCCTCGTAGCTGACGGGGAGGAAACCGCTAGGCCGGTTCTTAAGACGCACGTCAGATGCGCAGACACTTCAGAAAAGAAGGAATGTGGGTGGCACGGAGCAGGCAAGGTGCTCAGCCTCCTGGGCCAGTTCCTGCCAGCGCGAGACACCCGGAAAGTCACCTTGTAGGCTTTGGGGGCTGGCGCCGTCCCCCAGCAGCCAGGCCGGTGTGGTCCCGTGTGACCTTTGGAGTGGCCTGCACTGAGCTGCAGCACTACATAGTGGGGTTCTGTTTCTCTTCTCTTAGCTCGGGGAGCACGGACAGTGAGGAAAGTACAGACTCGGAAGAAGAAGACGGAGCCAAACAGGACTTATTTGAGTCCAGCAGCGCCAATGCGGAGGACAAGATGGAGGTCGACTTGAGTGAGCGTAAGTGCTTCCGCAGCCCTTGCTGTGTTCCCGTCCGGCTTAGAGAATGGGCGTCGCAGCCCCTGGGCCCGAGCTGCCTTCCCGGGGTGGACACGTGGCAGCCGCACCTCTGCCGCAGCCTCGCTCCTGGGCGGCCATGGCACTCTGCTCACTGCCCCGCCCGGCGGCCGGCTGCGGAGAGGAGTCGCAGGCGCTGGGGGGCAGAGAAACCGGAGCGGTGGGGACTGGAGCGCGGCCGCGCCGGAAAGCCCTGAAGACTGAGGGCCTCGGCGTGTGGCGTTTATGCCGAGAATTTATCAGCTGAGCGCTCTTTGTCCTGTTCCTTACTCAGATGTGCGTTATCTGTAGCTTTTGAGACAGACTGTTAGCTTGCATGTAGAAGTTTCAGTAAAGCTGTAAATGAACCCACGGACTCCCCAGCAGCTGGCTTCGGGCCGGTCGCGCCTCCTCCCGCAGGTGGGCCTGCGCGCACTCGCTGCCAGGGCTGAGCCAGCACCGGGGCTCGGCGACGACACCCCTCAGGCTGCTCGGACCTGGCAGGGAGCCCGCATACCCGCGCCCCCTCTCGGCTCGCCCTGTGTGGGAGGAAGCAGGCATTTCTCACGCCGACACGCCCTCGTCGAGCTCCTGTGGCACCATGTGCAGGGGCACCTGTGGCCTCGAGGGGCTGTGGATGCTTAGTGCTCCGGAGCCAAAGGGTGACCCTTGGGGCCAAAGGAGCGCAGTCCACGTGGAGGGCAGCCCGAGACCAGGCCGAAGGCCAAGCGAGAATTCTGGTGTCAACATGCAGTGCTGCTCCCGAGGACTTACCACCGCTGGCGTGTGCACTGGCGTTGCTCGTGGCGAGGGCAGGGGCGCTGGGGAGGGAACACTCTGGAGAGCCGCAGGCACTGCACCGCAGACAGGGTGAGGGCTGCTGGGGCCAGCCGAGAGTCTGTGTGGCGGGCTTGGGGTATGGGATCAACTTCAGCACGGGGGGGCGGGGGGAGCCCCGGGGCCGGTGGACATGGGTGTGCTCTGTCTAGACCTCAGCGGAGGGCACACCCCGTGACGGCCACAAGCCCCTAGGGCCGCGTCTCCGGCAGAGCCAGTACCTACCCCCAGCCCCTCTGTGCCGCTTGCTGGCCCCGAGCTGCTCTCCGCCTGGGGTCCTGTAAGTGCAGTCGCGGCACGTCTGTCTCCCATGCTGGCTGTGTCACACAGGTGCACACGTCCTCCGGGTTCAGCGCAGAGCTGGCCGGCAGGCTGTCAGCCAGGACCCCCACTTCCTCTTTGGGCTTGATTCATTCATTTGGCAAGGCTCACAGAACCCAAAAAGCACTTCAGTTACAGCCACCAGCTTACTACAAAGGATCTTTTGAAAGATAGAAATGAACAGCCAGCTGGAAGAACAGAACAAGACCAAAGGGTGCCAGGTCCGGGGGCTTCGGTCCCCGTGGGGTTGGGGCTCGGCCCCCTCTTCTCCCCAGCTTGGGCTTTCTCCAGAGACGCCATTAGGTGGGAGTTGCTGGTGAGATGGCCCGGCCCCTGCTGCTGTACCTCCTGGGACGGAGGCGGGTGGGCCCCAGGAGGCCAGCTGAGTCCCCAGCTCTGCCCATCTCCCGAGGCTCCCAGAGGACATCCATGGCTGCGATCCCGAGGCTTCTGGCCTTAGGGGAGCACGAGCCAGGCAGCCCCCCGCTGCTTGTGGCGCACCAGGCTGCCGCCCTCCGTGAAGGTGGGGCCGGCTTGGGAGGCGCTGAGGCTGTTGCCGTGACTGCCATTAAAGAGCCGACCTGCTTTTTTTAATAAAGCTTAGAATTTCAGGTTCACAGTCACAAATTGTGCAGGAAGTGACTTTATACCCTTCACCGGCTCTCTCCACAATGTTAGCATGACCCTGGTATATTTGTCCAGAGTAAGACGTGAACGTTGTTTTCTTCCACATGTGAAAGACTCCCCTCCTGTCGCTGTTTCAGTCAGAGCTGCCGAGGCCTAAAGGAAGCGGCTGCACTAGGCGGCGTTGCCGTGCGGAGTGAGACAGCTTGGCACGGCACGGTGGTGGGTGGGGATCCCTGTCCCTGTCCTGCTGTTTTCCTTACTGCTGCCAGTCTGTTCTTGAAAGACACCTTGTGTCACACAAAACTGCTAAAGTATCCACTGTCTGAGTGAAATCCCCCTTTCAGCACCCAGCTGGTCGGCCAACTTTGATGTTCCCATGGAGACGACCCACGGTGCCCCCTTGGACTCTGTGGGGTCGGACGTCTGGAGCACGGAGGAAGCGATGCCCACTAAGGAGACGGGCTGGGCTTCCTTCTCCGAGTTCCCGTCCTCCCTGAGGTGAGCCCACGCGCCTCGGCGGCTCCAGTGTCTGGGGGGCGCGGTGATGGTGTTTTCACAAGAAAGGCCAGCATGTGCTCTTCGTCTGGGGCAAAGTGGGGGGGAGGCAGCCCCGGATGTTAGCTGGATGCCTAAAAGATGGCAGCGTATTGTGCGCCCCCTCTGCCCGGGGCGTGGCGGTCGGCGCTGTTGCCGTGTCCTTGTCGCGAAGGTGGCCTGCCCCTCGTTCCTCGCCACCTCGCACTTGAGGGGTCGTCGGCCAGCTTGCGTGGCTGTGCGCTGTTTTGTTTTGCCTACTGAAAGATCAGGCCCCCCACACCCCATTTGAAAGACTTGGTTGCGTTCTCTGTTCTAACAGGTGATGAGACGTGTCCCGATGACGGGGGGGCGGGGGGGCGCAAGCTTCGAGACTGGCAGTTAGCGCGAGACAAGCCAGAGGGCAGCTGGGACCCTCACCGCCTGGCCACGTTTTAGCAACAGTGGCCAGAATTTGCTCTGAGGGGTTCAGTGAGATTTGGTGGGGGCATCGCCCAAGGTATTCGGATGCAGGTGAACGCTGACTCCACCCGCACAAACCCGCCCGGCCTCTAGGCTCTTGGCTAGCCGTGTGGCCGCTCCGGGGACGGGGCTGTGCCCAAGGGGAGCCAGGACAGCGAGTGTGACGCCGCACACAGGGCATCCTTAACTAGCGCTCGGAGCCTGGAGGTTGGGTGCGACGTGTGAGCCGGCCAGGAAGCCTCTGGGCAGACCCTCGTGACCTGCCCTGCTGGCGAGCGAAGCCCCCCGGGCCCCAGCGGCCCTGCCTGGCGCGGCCTCTGCTCTGCTTGGGCTGCTGCTGGCGCCCCGGCGGCCTGGGCTGGCTGCAGCGTGTCGGCGAGAAGCAGCCAGAGAAGCCCTGTTGCTAACTTCTGCATGTTCTCTCTCCTCCAAGCACGAAAGACGCTTTGAGAAGTAACTCCCCGGTGGAAATGGAAACCAGCACTGAGCCCGCGGGCCCCCTGGCGCCCAGCGTCCCCGCCCTCGCTGTGCAGCCGGAAGGTGGGTGCGGGCCTGGCGTGCCCGGCTTTAGCTCTGCCCTGGTTTTCCGGGTCTAAGCACTTGTCTTTGCCTTGCGACTTCACGAAGCTGTTCTTACCTCTTGAGCTCAGGAGCACAGAGGACACAGGGAGATGAGGCCTTTTGTCTTTCTGTGCCAGAAGCACAGTGTTTAGACCCCAGGAGTTGGGTTAGGTTATGCAGTCCCGTCAGTGCCCCGGGAAGGAAACTGAGGCCCAGAGGGAGGAATGTTGCGCAGGACTCAAGAACATTGAGGCAGGACTAGAGTGACCAAAGCCAAAGCCTCAGTGTCCCGCCCACCGCACCCAGGCCTTCGTCCCTTGGAAAGGCCGCGCCGGCACGGATGTGCCTGGGCACGTTTCAGGCTGGGGCTGTGTGTGTCCTTGCTCCGCGAACAGATGAAGTGGTCAGGGCTGTGCGGGTCCTGTTACTGGAGACGCTGCTGCTGCCTGACCCTGACCTGGTTCAACAGCGGAAGCTTGGGAGGCTGGGGAGGAGGAGGCCTGTGGGGGAAGGGGTGCAGGCGGCCGGGGTTGGGTGTGCCAGGGCGAGGAGGCCAGCCCTTCGACAGCACGGTGCCAGGGCCGCGGGGCGGGGGCGGGGAGGCCTCGCTTACCCCCCACAGGGGCTGCCAGGGCAGGCGGGCGGGGCTGCGCCTAACGTGCAAGGCCCATGTAGAGAAGGGCGCTCTGCCGGCTCTGCACACGTGCCGTCAGCTGCGTGTCCTTCCAGCCCCAGGCAGCGTGGCCATGGAAGCCAGCTCAGACGGAGAGGAGGATGCGGAGAGTGCAGACAAGGTAACTGAGACAGTGATGAATGGCGGCATGAAGGAGACGCTCAGCCTCACTGTAGATGCCAAGACAGAAACCGCGGTCTTCAAAAGGTAACCAGGGCTTGCTCGCTCGGCCACTCCAGGCCGTTGGGAGGATGGTGGGGCAGCCTCAGGTGTCGGCAGGCCTGTGGCGCCTGTCGAGAGCCTCGGTGACTCACTGAGGACAGGGAGAGCTCGGTCCCTAGTGCCTGCCACGCAAGGCCTCGTGTGCTCAGGACTGACCGGCCAGGGTCTGGTTGACTCAGTACAAAAGTGTAAAAGCCGACAAGTCTTTATTCGTATACGAGTTGAATTGTTCATGGGCTACAAGTCTCAGTCCATGAAGAGAGGGAAAAAATATTTGGAATTAACCTTATTTCTAAACTCAAAACAAAAAGGAATCACAATAGAAATCACAAAGTTAAAACTGAAAGCGCTGTGGAAACTGGCTTGCGGGCCGCAGCAGACTAGCTCATCTGCCACTCCAAGGCGGAGGTCACGGAGAGAAACTAATCCTAAGCTGGTCTCCTGCTCCGAAGACTCGCGCTCAGAAGTGCGAGGCTTGACGCCAAGCCCGCACCAGGGCTCCAACTCACACCACACGAGTGTGGGACGGTGCAGCATTGCCGACACCGCCAAAGGTAATTCACAGGCAGATAAAGGATAAAACTGTTTGGACCTTCAGCAGCTGGAGAAAAAACATCTGGTCAAAATGAAAGGCTTTTGTCTCTTCGTGGCCTCCCAGGAATAGGAAAATAGCTACTTGAAACAGATTTTTAAAAGATCTACTGAAAATCTGCAGTAGATTCGTTCTTAACACTGAGGCTTTGAGGAGTTACTCAAAGCCAGACAGTGGACCAGTAGTAATGCTTATCTAGCTCGCTGGTGTTTCAGTGAATTTAATAAAATACATGCTATAGAAATTGGAAAGAAACAAAATGCTTATTGCTTAATTGCAGATTATGGTTTTATACATGATAAATTCAGTTGAATCCATGGGCCAGTTTTACAATTACTAGAAAGCTCACGTCAACTGGGTGTACATTCAATCAGTTGCATCCTGCAAACCAGTAACGGTGTGCTTTTTTTTGCATAGAAGAACTGGGGTACAGGCCAGATGTGGGGAGAGGGGTGAGAGAGTTCACCAGAGTAGGAGGCAGAACAGGCAAGTTGACTGAAATCCACTGCTGAGGGAGCAGTGGGGAGACAGGAGAGGTCTGCTGTGCCCTGTGGTCACCGCCCTGGCTTGTGCTGCAGGGGCTGCAGACAGCTTCATAGTCCTGCGCTTTAATCCGCTGAGCCACCAGGGACAGCCTGGAGAAGACCTGTTTTAACCTTAAGACAGCCAAACCATAAAGGAAAAGTTTGGTAAATATGACTTAATTGTTTGTATTCTAGAAATAGGGTCAAATGCGAAAAAAGTAAGCCACAACCACAGAGTGATTCGGGAGCCAGGATGTAGGAGGACCCTAATATCAATAAGAAAGAGACCCTCTAGCAGTAATTTTTTTAGTGGGCAAAGGAAACAAGCCATTAGCTGGAGGGAAACAGATGAAGGCCCGCCCCTGCGCGTGACTCAGACTCTGAGCAGAGCCGGCATGGGGGTCTCCCGGCGTGGCGCACGCCCGACCAGGATACAGCGGCAGAAACCTCCCTTCTTGAGGGTGCGCTCGCATCGCCTGGCAGAGGTGCTGGCTGTGTCACGCCGGGTGGGGGTCAGTGCAGAGGGGAGCGCTGCACGCATCGCACCAGCCGTGGTGCCCATCTCTCTGCCACGTCAGCCAGGGAGGGCAGCACGGCTGCGGGGCTGCGGGCTTGAGTCCGCCACGAGGCCAGGTACGGGGCTCAGGAGAGACCAAGCAGCAGGCTCTTCGTGACTGTCGTTCCGAGACCCCAGAGTTTGAAAGCGCTGGCAGGAACAGCCACGGAGAGCTGCCCGCAGGGCCACTCCTGCGCCGTGGGCAGCGCCGAGACAGACGCCTGCCCCGTTCACCTTCGCCTTCAGGCCGGCCTGCCACACTTCACAAAAGGCACCTGAGAAACATGCTGTACAATTGATATGAAAAATGAAGCTTCGTAAGTCGCCGAGGAAGCCAGAAGGGAGGTCACAGCAGAGGCCCGCCCTCGGCCCTGCCCCAGAGCCGGTGTGAAACCGTGAACATGCGAGAGGCCACAGGAGGCACCCGGCTCTCGGGCGAGACCTCGGGACTGGCGGCTGGGGGCAGCGCGGTGGCCAGGCCCTGTGGGGAGGACCGCAGTTCCCAGCGCGCTCGCAGGCTGAGGAAGGGGTCGGGGGGGGCCACCATGTGGCCGGGCTTCCTGACCTGGTCACAGGAAAGGGCAGCTTTTTTAAAACGAAACTTAAAAACCTTCAGGAACTAAACCGAACCCCTGCAGCATAGAGCCGGGTCGTTTCTGGGTGACAAGCACTGTGGCCGAATAGGGACTGGCTGCAGATGCGCAGGTGTGATGTCTCAACACGGCAGGACTAAGGTTAGTGTTCAGGGATTCCTGTAGCCCAGGAAAAGACAGGAAATCTGAATTGAAATGGGCAGAAGAGTCAGCTTACAGCAGAGCAGCCAGATGGGCAGAAGGGTACTCAGAACGCATTCGTTACCCGGCACCTCCTGCGAGACCCCTGGGCTGGAAAGGGGAGCGCTGAGTATTGGGGTGGAGACCGGGTTGGGTCCAGAGGGCGGCGGGGTCAGATGACGCCCTTTATTTCAGCTCCTGGACGTGGGCCCTGAGGAGCGGCAGGCTGTCCCTGGGGCTGTGGGGTGGGAGACGGCTGGCGCTGTCCCCGAGAAGCCAGGGGGCTGGGGAGCTGACCGTAGGCCCTGCCCTGGCAGCGAGCATGGGCCATCGGTGCAGGAGATCTGGGTGTGCCCAGGCCTGTGTGCCGGGACACAGAGCACAGTGGACACCTGGAGCAGTGAGTGGCCGCTGGCCCGCACTGTTTCAGAGGTCAGTGCATTTCCTGCTTAGAAATCGCCCCAGTGCCATCTGAGGCCATCTTAAAGTCAGTGTTCTATCACAAGTCCAGGTCAGTGCAGCGCTCAGGGTGAAGCACCACCGCCTTGCCGAGCCAGAGGGCCGGCGTGAAAGCGGAAGGCTGGGCACCACCGTCTCCAGCTCTGCGGCCGCCGAGGGGCGTGTCGCCTTGTCTCCCAGCTCAGCCAGCGGGAGAGGCAGCGGCCTTGCGGGTCCCGGGTGTCGCACCCTCTGCCTTCAGGGTCCGGCCGGACTCCTCCTCCGTGGTGTCTGTGGTTCTCACGTGTTGCTGGAGGGCAGCCTGGGAAGTCCGGCCCAGCTCAGGCTGTGGGGCCCTCCCACACGATCCAGCTGGTGGGTCTGTCCTGCTGGCTGTTTAAATGGGGGCTCAGCCCGCAAGCGAGATGCTCTCACTAAAGACTCATTCCTCCAAACAGGTCCGTGTGACACCCCACCGGGTCTGCAGTTCCGCTCTGCAGTCGTGGACATGTTATTCCCCAAATTCCTCATTTATAGGAGTATTCTGAAACTCTTGTACATTTCTTTTTCTGTTTTGCACACTTGGCTTCAGAGTGTTGAAATCCTATCGGTATGTACGGGCCGGGGCCGCCCCTCACCAGACAGCGCGTCACACCGCCCCTCGCTCCCGCCGTGTGTGCCTCCCGTGTGCCGTCCGTGGCCCCTGTGCCCCCCACCCCCCCGAGCATGCGCACCCAGGGCCTCCACTCCATGGCGCCATGATGTCCGAACCATCTGCACGTGCCCTCGCCCCCGCCCGGCCCCGGCGCTGGGGTCTCACGCCCCGTCCCCCTCTTTACTGCAGTGAGGAAGGAAAACTGTCTACCTCTCAAGATGCTGCTTGTAAAGATGTGGAGGAGAGCCCCGAGACGGCGGAGGCAAAGCCCGCGGCCCCCCGGCCCCCCAGCAGTAGTCCAGAGCAGAGGTAACACCCCACTTCCCGGGACACCCCCCCCCCCCAGTGCCTGTTGTCTCCTGGGAGCTGGGAGGGAAGTCGGCCTCTGGGGGTGGGGGTGCCGGATAACTCAGAAGTGACAGTTCTCTCCTCCCCTGGCTTTGGGACGTGCTGCCGTCTACGTCTCTAAGAATCCTGGGAACGCAGGGTTTTCTGGCTGCTGAGCTTCCTGGCCTTCCTCTTTCATGAGGCCTGAGGCCGACGGCCAGCCCTGCGGCGTAAGGAGCTGGCGCTTCAGACACGTGGCTGGGTAGTCTCACCACTCACTTGATCCCCGATTGGTTTTGATTTCTCAGTGTCTTTACCTTGGCTGCAGATTCTGCTGCCAGGGCTGGGTGGTTTGCATGTGGTGGTGTCTTTCAGCTTTTCCCTAGACTGAGCCGGTAGTCTGAGGGATAGGCCAGCAGGTGGAGCGCAGGCCACCCTCACCCTCTGCGGGCTGACGACAGGAGGTGAGGTCCCGCCTTGGACGACGGGACCTTTGCTCAGCTCGTCTAATATCCATTGAACTGCGTCGACGTGTGTATGCCCCTTCCGTAGGGGGCGAAGTGGGGCACCAGGGACAGACCCTTCGGCCTGCGCTTCCCTCTGCGCCTGAGGCCTCGCCGGGGCTGGCAGGGGGCGCGCTCGGCCCGCTGGTCAGGTCTGTTCCAGCACACAGCACCTGACCTCGCTGCCCTCCCCCTTCCTGCCGGTTGAGGCCAGAATGGGGTTTGCTGCGTGAGGTGGCGGGCCGGTCTCTGAGCTCTCGGCTGTCTGGCGGCTGGCCTCTACTGGGTTCTCAGATGCCTTGTCCAGAAGGAAGCCGCCGCAGGGCTAGCCTCGCTGGGCTCCCGGTGCCGGCTCCCGCGGCTCCGCAGCCGGGGCCTGGTCCCCAGGGAGCCGCGCCACTGCCCTCGGGTCGTTTCCCTGCGTTTCCGCCGTGTGCGGTCTGTCATCCCACGCCGACCTGCTAACCCTCCTGGGGTCACTGGCCCCCGTTCACGGGGGAGAAAACAGTGAGGGAGATTGAGGAATTGACTTCAGGTCAGAGTTTATAGGTGAAGGCAGCCACGCCGCCCGCTGTGTCGGGTCCAGAACTCTCGGGCCCACGTCTGGGACACCGAGAGTCCGTCACGCGCATCAGCCGTAGGAGAGCGGTGCGCCGAGCAGACTTGCTGGGTCTTGCTGGCCGGTGTCCGAGCACCGATGTTGAGTGTGGTCAGGCCGGCGGGGTCCCTGGGCCGCCCCACGCTGCTGCGCCCGCCGCCTGCCACTCCCTGTGTCAGCCTGGCGCCTACTCGCCACCCAGGTCTGCTGGTGGGGCGCAGTTCGGGCCTTCCTGCTTGTGTTCCCGACGGGCTTCTCTCATCCACTGAGCAGCATGACATGAAGTGCACATTCCAGCCTCAGCTTCTCCCTTGTCAGGGAGTTGCCCCAGGAGCAGCCCCCTGGTCCAGCCTCTGCCAGAAGCCCCTGTTGCCAGCAGTCGCCCCCCCTCCCCCAACTTGGCCTTTTGTTTTCCTTCCCCAGTGGCAGGCTCCATTTTTCCAGTGAATTTTTTGTGGCTCTCAGTATCTGGGATAGATAGGTGCGGATAGCTCCGCGGCCCACCTGGAGCCTGCCAGCGCCCCTGCAGCCTCCCTGGCGCAGCCTCGGCCACCACACCACGCTCCTGCCGTCGCTTTCCGTCAGCCCAGTGCCGAGCACCCTAAGCTCATCCCAGACCTCGGGCAGAGGCGCTCCCTGCCCCGCGGCTGGCTCGCTCGCCCGCCCGCCTCTGCCTGCGCCTCAGAGCCCCGTGTCTTGCTCCCTAGGACTGACCAGCCCAGCCTGCCGGGCGACACGGCGGTCAACGGCCCCGTATGATGAGCGACGCGCTGCTGACCGAGGACTGCAGACGCCGCCACGGGGGCTCTGGGGCTCCCTGCCGCCACACCGCCACCGCTGCACCCACTCTGCAGGGGATCAGGACCAGCAACCTTCATCTTCTAGATCCTAAGACGTTGTACAGAGAGATTCAGAGTGTAAAAATATTGCACATTGACAAATACCAAGAATTTTTGCGTATGTTTATATTGTATTGTTCTAAATAATGGGCGGCCTGTGAAATAAGACCTTGCCGCCCGCGCAATGATGAATAGTGGTAATACTATAGTTCAAATGGCTGTAAGAATAGTTTTATAAAAGTGATACACAGATCTATTGTATTTGAGACATAACTATTTGACGATTATTAGTGTGACCAAAGTATTAGGCAGTTTTCCTACATTTTCCACCTTGTACAAAATTCGGAATTCATTTTTCCTCCAGGCTGGCAAGGAGTTGAGGGGCTGGGTGCCCTCAGTGCTGTTTGCTGCTCTGGCTGACAGACGTGATTTTGAATCGGAAGTATTCGGTGTTCTTTTTATAACCCGTTTTTGATTGGTACCTGTTTTCTGTATTGTTTAAAACGGATCAAAAACGTAAGTCTATTGGTAGAGATTAAGTATTTATTGCTACAACTTAGCTGATAAATTGATGTTATTGTAAAGCCATATGTTCTGTTAAAAGTCTCGTTTGCTTGACATGATTCTTCTGCAGGTGAAACACTAGGGTATTGGAGTGTACATGGCTTGTGGTTTGGGTTTTTTTGTTTGTTTTTCGTTTTCGTTTTCGTTTTGTTTTGGTGGCTCATCTGCCTTTTTAACCCATTCACCAAAATGTCCCTGACAACAAGCATCACCAATGAACATTTCAGAGCAGTCGCGTGTCTCACACACCGGCGGGCCAGCTGGCACGGCTCAGGCTGCCAGCCGGCGGGGCTGCTCGGTCCCGGCGGGCCCCGCGCAGCCGCCCCGAGTGCGTGAGGGCGCCCTCAGATCTCAGCCAGTGTGTTTTTTTAGGACTGGTTTGTGTATATATATAGTGATTATGGATACTAATTCAATGTAATTTATAATTTTCTATGTCACAGCCTTCTCAAACAGCTGAAGCAATATATTGTATATTGCCATATCGTCTGGTGAAAGGGTTAAATTACTTCACCTCTTGCACTTTTAGATGCAAATCAGTTTTTCATTTCTGTAATAGAAAGCTATTCACGTATTTTTACATCATTTGTTTTTCCTGACCAGTATTTAAAACCAAAAGGATATTCTGAAAAAATGGCCAACGAATTTTTTAGAAACCGCATCCCAAGCAGCGTGCCTAAACATACATTGCACACGGAAATAAAAATCAGACGTCTGGCGCCTTCTTTCTCCCTCACGTCTCCGCTGTGAGCGCTGGAGATGCCCAGAGCCTGGCGTCCATCAGGGCCGGCTGCCACCCGGAGCCTGCCGCGGCGAGCTCCCCCGGAGGGACGGCCGCGCCCTGCCCTGCGCCTCACGCTGCGAGCCCCCGGGCGCCCCCATGTCCAGCACGCCTGGCCCTGTGCCCCAGTGCCACTGTCCCGCCCGGGGGCTCGCTCAGCCTCTCCGTGCCACCGAGGTGGCGCCGGCCGCGCGCCATCCGCTGCCACTGGAAGAGCTTCCGGGGGTTTCCCTTGGGGTCGTTTCCGCTTTGCTCGTGTCACCTGGCAGGGAGAGGACCGCGGGGGGACGCACCGAGTCCGCGGGCAGCTCCGCCGGCCCGGCGCGGCCCTCCTCCGTTTCTGCTGCGAGCTCTGTGTTGGCCATACTGGATCGTGAGACTAACAGATGTCTAGAATACAATACCTGTGTTAAAGATGACAGCAAATAAAGCCTGGCTCTTTGTTTCTAGATGTCTCTGCTGTCGCTGGTCCTTCGCAGCCAGTGTGGGCCGGATGCGCGAGCACCGTTGGTTTTTCAGGGGTCCTGGCTTCCGGCGGCTCTGTGGAAGCAAGACCTGTGCACGCGCTCGGGTGGGGCTGGGGGTCAGTGCCGGCTTCTCCTTGGCTGGGGGCTGCGCTCAGCTCGGCACGGGCAGAGCCTCCCCAGCCCGTGGCCGCCGCAGCACTGGGGGTTCTTTGTCCCACGCGCGGCCACTCCGTGCACCTGTTGGGCGTCTGTCACCCACAGGCCGGTTGGTCGCCAGGTCTCTCGCCGCTGGTCTCTCCACCTGGAGTCTGCGGCCACCCGCTGGCCAGTCTGCTTAGCAAGGGCGTGGGCTGTGGCCAGGCCTGTGCTCACACCCCCTCAGCCAGTGGGAAAGGGGGCACCCAGCTCCCCTGTCCCGCCAGATGGGAAACGGCACGTGAACGCTTCGTTGTGCTCACCACTGCCTCCCTCGGCCCCACGGGTCGCTGCCGCCTGTCTGACTCCTGGCCACGGTCCGGGGGACACGTCCGGTCACTCGGGAGAGGCCTCCCAGCGCCTGTGTGGACGGGCGAGAACACAGAGCCTGAGAGACGCGCGGCAGGCGACGTATCCCTAGGAGGCCCAGGTGCCAGAGGGCGTCGGGCTGCTGGAAAAACCGAATTCTGCTGCTCTTCCTAGTGAGTGGGCCATGGCGGCCAGGGAAGAAACGCCTGCGTCCCGGCCAAAGGCCATGGCCAGAAAAACACAGACGTAAGAAGGAAGACCCAGCGGAGCGGGAGATGAACAGGTCGTCACAAAGAGAATGACTTGAGCCGGTCCTCACCCAGGAAATGACGGCCTGTCGGGCCGCAGGGCCTAGCCGAGGGGGCACCAGCCAGAAACCAGAGCCAGCTGCCCCTGGGGGACGGAGGGCGGCTGGGCACGAGGAGGCGCTGGGTTTCTGAAGGGGAAGTGCGGCGTGGAGCAGGCGCCCGCGTCTTCCTAATGCCCAGCCCCGTGGGGATGGACATCCGCTGCTGGCCTTCCCCGACACAAGGCCGGCGTTGGTCCAGCACTGCCTGTGACCAGGCAGGGGTGACCGCTGGGGGTGCAGTTCGGGAGGCACCCAGCCCTGCCCGTTGGTGAGAGGGCACTTGGAACCACTCGCTGTGCGCACCTCCAGAGGGACTGCCGCGGGCTGTGCCTCTGGCTGGGGCGTCTCAGCGCCCGCAGGCTCCTGGCAGGGCCGGGTGAGGGACAGTGGAGGGGGCCTTCCTGGCACCTGGCAGCGTCCAAGTGCGACTTGGTTCGAGTTTCTGCAAGACGCACACTCTACCTGCCTCTCTGGGGCACGCTCAGAGGCCCTGAGCGTCCAGCTGTCTCTGCTGCCCCGCGGCCACGCCCAAGCTCCCCTCAGGGCCTCACTGCCGTCTCAGGTCCCCGAACGCCAGGCCGCTGGGCGGCGGGCGAGAGCGGCGGTGCCCGATGGGGCTCCAGGCGGCGGCCCCCGCAGCTGCGGCTCAGGCCGCGTCAGCTCCGAAGCGGTCGTGACCTCTCTGGCTGTCAGACACGCCGCAGCCGGAGGATAAAGCCAGGGGCGCGGAAACAACGCAATGACAGTCACGCGGCTCGGTCCACGGTTACTTGGCGCTGGTTTGGTTTCTCCGCTGACCTGGGCCAGGGCCGTCGTGCGCAGCGGGAGTGGGAGGCGGTGATGTGAGATCAGCCCCACACGCAGCCCATTGGGGGTTGCGCAAAGGGGCCCCATGCGGCCCCCAGCCTGGGCCCCGGGGACCTGCCGATCCCTCCAGGATGACACTGGGGCTCCAGCTGGAAGGAGGCAGACGAGGCCGGTGGCCCCGGGCTCACAGGGTGCCAGTGTCTGCCACTGCAGAAGACGGAGGACCCACGCCCCCCCTCCCCCACCTCCCCACCCCCGCTCAGCCAGCGCCCTGCCCCGGTAGCCAGGCCCGCAGCAGCCTCCGGGGGCCTCACCCACGAAGAAGGGTGGGCGACTGGCACTCCCGGGCCTCACGTGCACCCGGCCGCATGGGCTTCGGAGGCCCGGGCCCGCCTCCAGAGACCACACGCCAAGGGCCGGAGTACAAGTGAGAAAAAGTCAAAAACAAGGTGGTTTTGAGCCCAGCCCAGCACCGTGCGTGAACGCACAGCAGGTCGTCAGTCTGCCAAGGGGCTGCTGCGGAAGAGCCCCAAGGACGGTCCTCGCGTCCCTCCCCAGAAGTAGCAGCGCCGGCCAGGCCACCCACTCCCCCGGCTGGGCCTGGGTCGCCGCAGGGCCTCAGCCAGCCTCCTGCTCTGTGACCGAAAGGCCACACTTCTGGTGCTGACAGCATGGGGGCGCTGCCCGAGGGCCACCCCAGTGGAGGGCCCTGCCAGGGGCTTCTCCTCTGGGGTCTCCTTCCTCCTGGGGCCCCCTTCCTCCCCCTTCCTGGCTGGCCCCTCCTGGGGTCCCGGAGCAGGAGGCTTGCCGATGCAGACAGCTCCTCGCCGCCTCCTGATCTGTCTGTGCCGCAGGGTGACATTTCGAGGTCCAGTCAGCTTACAGCGAGCAGACGAACATGACAGGAGCTTCCTGGGCTTCCCACAGGGACGCTGCGCCCCAGAACAAGCCGCTCGCTCAGCCTCACTGCTGGAACATATTGGGGGTCAGCTCTGCAGACAAGGCCTGGGGGAGGGCTGGCGCCTGGCACACCTGCCCGGGGCTCGGGGCTCGTGCTGTCGGAATGGCCTGAGGGGCATCTCCCCAGGGACCCCAGGCCGACTCACCCTGGGCAGGGGCTGAGGGCGGGCCACGCCTTCCTGGTGTCCAGCCTACACTGGCAGGGGCTGCGGGCGTCTCCTGCAGCCTGTCCTCACCACGCCCCCCGCCAGGTCCCCAGGGCCTCTGCACCCGAGTCGTAGGGCTGAGGCCCTGGCTCTGCAAGGGGTCTTGAGGGAAAGGGAGGAGGGTGGCACAGCCCTGGGCCCCACAAAGCAAGCTGCAGGGGGCTGGGAGTCCAAGGCTCTGGGCTGAGTGGGCCCCAAAAACCAGGTTGCGGGGCTCTGAGGCCAAAGCAAGACCTAGAAAAGCTGGGGCGCTGGGGTGTGAGCCCCGCTCAGAGCTTTGGCGTAGGGTACAGCCAGACCTGAGTTGGCACAGCTAGCCGGCTCCCCACAGTGCAAGGGTGAGACTGGGGAGGGAGTGGCAAAGGTGGGGTCCTCCAGGGGGAGACCCCAGCTGCCATGTCTGGGCACTCGGGGCGCAAGACACCACTGACCAACTGCCCCCATGAGCCAATACCCTGGCTGCCCGGAAGAGCAGGTCCCAGTCTGGGCACCTGGCTGCCCCCAGTGGACCTCACATCAGCACCCGGCTGATGTCCTGCTCGGCCACCCCCTGGGTCACACGCGCACACACGGAAAAACCAGCGTTCATAATTGCTAAAAGGCAGGAAGAGCCCAAATGTCCAAATGAATGGAGAAACAGATGGGGAGACACACGGCGCGCTACTGGTCATAAACAGAGATCAAGTCAACAACAGACCCCAAACCGGATGAAGAACAGCAGGGCCCTGAGCAGACCTCTCCAGAGAACACACACGACTGATTAGCTCGTGAGAAGATGCTGCACACCACTCCTCGGAGATGAAATCCCAAACCACAGCCAGACCCCGCTGCACACCCGTTAGGTCGGCCGCGCTCAAAACCCTGGAGGAGGGGGACGCGCTGACTGCGACGAGGGCAGGGAGACGTCCGCCCGCTGCGCTCGGGGGTGGGAGCGCACAGAACAATACAGAGGCTCCTCAAGCCATTAGGAGCATCTAGCATGTGGCCCAGGAGCTCACATCTGCATGTAAACTCAAGAACGGAGAGCAGAGGTGTGAAGCGGCATCGGCAACCCCCCGTTTACGGCAGCCAAGAGGCGGAAGCCATGTAGCGCCGGTCTGTGGGTGAACAGATAGGGGAGATGCTGAAGCACGCGCTGGAATACTACTCAGCCCCGAAGAGGAGGGGCGGTGTCACACCTGCTTCAACATGGAGGAGACCCGAGGACTCTGAGCCGAGTGAGATGTCCACACCAAGGACAATGTGTCTGCTTCCGCTCGTGTGAGGACTCGGGTTCATAGAAATCGGGATGTGGGGTCTCAGGGAGGGCGGAGGGGGGCTAGTGTTCAATAGGACAGAGTTTCTGGGATAAAAAGCACCCTGGAGCTGGACGGTGGTGGCGGCTGCCCACCACGCAAGCGCCTGAGGCCTCCGAACAGAGCGCACAGAATGCTGGAGAGGGTCGGTGCGGGCTGTCACCGCAGCAGAAGGAAAGCGGCTCTCCCGGCCTGGGCGCTCTCGGGACCGGGACCGGCCCAGGACCGGGACCGGCCCAGGGCGCCACCCGGCAGAACCAAGGGCGGAACGTGGACCATTGAAGGGCCTCATGCTGGCTCAGCGGCACCCTCTGGCTGGCGCACCCCGCTACAGCCCGGCAGACCGCAGGCTCCCG